TTAGAGATCAAACAACCCAAAAACATATATTTTGGGATTATAGCAATCAAAATGAAAATTGGCACAAATATAAACTTTCATGTGCTCAACATACTGACATACACAAAAGTTGGAATAGTCCATTTTGTGTCTTTTAGAGGGGTCAGAGATAACAAAAAAACATAATTTTGGGGTTTTTGGTCAATTACTCGGCTATATTTTGATAAATTTACATGAGATTTGGTACAAAGATACTTTTTTACAGGTCCTATACATATACATACAGAAATATGGGCTATGCCTATTTTTGGTCAACTTAGGAGGGCCAAAAGGTCACAACAAGCATAATTTTAAGGATTTTATTCAATTTCTTGGCCACATTTTGACCAACTTACTTGGGATTTAATACAAAGATATTCTTTGCAAGTCCTAAACAGATATATAGACAATTTTGGAATTTTTATGTTTTGCTCAGTTTTTCAGCGATGAAAGCACAATTTGGAGGTTTTGTGAACTATTCATACGTACGTCAAACTACTTACATGGGATTTAATACAAAGATACTTTCTTGTAGGTCTCAAGCAGTGATGTATAAAGCTGTCGATTTTTTTACGTTTTTTCTGGTGTCAAAATTGACCACGTTGGGATTGCGAGGCGAATATTGGTCTATGTAATATAAATACAAGTTTATATCTTTATTGCAAAATAACTCTTTTTAAAATTATGAGTAGAGGTTTATTTTATGGCACAGTAACTCATTTTAACATTGCAAGCAGAATGTTATGTCTTGTTTTGTTGAATTTTGCGCAAAGCTACTCGAGAGTTATCTGTGTTAGACTTCCCTAATTTAGAAGTGATTGGGAACACCATCCATCACAAATTTTTTGGTTATTCTTAACCAACGAAAGGTAAATATTGACCGTCATATCATGACACCTCCACGGATGAAAAAAGGATCATGTTCGATAATAGGATTCGAACGCGGCACTCCTAAATTACAAGTCGGGTTTTCTAACTACCAGACCATGCGAAGCACGAAATAGTTTATGTTTATCATATAGTAACTCTTCTTAACATTGTGATGGTGCAGTTTATGTTTTAAGACACAATAACACTCTTTAACGTTTAGATGGAAATTTATTTTTTACTAAATAGTAACACTTTCTAACATTGTAAATAGCATTGTAATGTTTTGTAATATAGTAACACACGAAAAGTGGCCCTTATTACCAACTAACAATCACGTTATGCAAACCATACAACACATTGAGTTAAACTGGCTTTCGTTTAATAAGTAACAGGCACTGGATCAAATTACTATTAGGATTAAGCATTATTACAATCAAAATCGTCGCCATTTCTGTGTGTTTGGAGGTTTAAACGCGAGTAACCTGAGTCAGTTATTAAGTCTTTGAATAATGTGGAAGTTGTCAATCTGTCAACACGCTCTTCCATACAGAAATATGCACTTACAGATTAGACGAGGCTGTTTAATTTCCTGCGTACATTTACTTAAGTATCTTGTTTACAGTTTCGAAGTTATCAAGGCAGCAGACGCGTATGCAACGCGTCCAGAAGTCGTATAGCGAGTGTGCTTTTGTTTGCAATGAATAATGAAGAGGGGCGAGTACTGGACGAAAGGTGCATCTAAACTGGTAAATTTCATTTCCAAGAACAAAAGGGGACAGTTTTATATTGACACAGAACTTAAATGATGCAATACCAATGAAATGTTCGTACCCTAAAAACGACACAGAGAATCTTGGTTTTCCTAAAGTTATGATCGACTAAAGAGTTAGGAAACCGATTTTTAATACAGGGTGTGAGAAAAGAAAGGAGTCAATTAATAATATACTTTGTTTTTTCTGTCTCATATGTGAACAAATATGCTACTGAATAAGAATATAGGGCCAGGTGGTTTAGGCGCTCGACTCGCAATCTGAGGGTCACCACTTCGAATCCCCGTCACCGAACATGTTTGCCCTTTCAGCTATGGAGGCTTTATAATGTGACGGTCAATCCCACTATTCGTTGATAAAATAGTAGCCAAGAGTTGGCGGTGGGTGATGTTGACTAGTTGCCTTCCCTCTAGTCTATCACTGCTAAGTTATGGACAGCTTGCCCAGATAGCCCTTGTGTAGCTTTGCGCGAAATTCAAAACAAACCAAATACTATGAACAAATATACAGATTAATCTTGCTCGGTGTATCCGCAGGAGTGACATGAAAAGATGACACCAGCTAATTTAATCAGATGCACTCTATGCTGTATGTAGTTCTTTCTAATCAGTTGCACCCTGCACAGTGTAGAGGTCCTTCTAATCAGTTTCACCCTGTACCTTGTGGAAGTCCTTCTAATCAGTTGCACCCTGCACATTGTGGAAGTCCTTCTAACCAGTTGCACCCTGCACCATGTGGAGGCCCTTCTAATCAGTTTCACCCTGTACCATGGGAGGTCCTTCTAATCAGTTGCACCCTGTACAGTGTGGAGGTCCTTCTGATCAGTTTCACCCTTTACCATGAGAGGTCCTTCTAATCAGTTACACCCTGTACAGTGTGGAGGTCTTACTCATCAGTTGCACCCTGTACCGTGGGGAGGTCGTTCTAATCAGTTGCACCCTGCACTATGTAGAGGTTCTTCTTTTTTTATATGTTAAGCAATGTTCTTAGAAAATGGCTGAGTCGCACTGAAACCTGTTACGAAGTGAGGTTATAAAAATACATCAATAGATGATAACTCCAATTCTGGAAAATAAACAGGCTGAGGAATATGAATTATGAAATCTCTAAAGTAATGTAAGATGAGTTTATGCTTAGCAATGAATTGCGTTAAACAAAAGACCAAGGTATAAAACATTAAACAGAGCCATGCAGTTACTCCTTTAGTTAACACAGAAAAAGTATTTTTTTATTTTTCTTCCCCAATTTAGAAGACAATGTAGCCAGCGCGATCACACTTCTTCCCTCTGTGCTCCAAATCCCATCCCTTTGAGTGTAGTGTGAAATGTATGCTTGTGACGTAAAGGATATTAAACATTCAAAAAATGCGATAAGCCTACGATTATTTGAATGAAATATTTTCTTCACTCCTCGTGAGTAGATTGGCCAAGTCTTTTTGTGTTTAAAATTACGAGGAACAGAATTAGAATTTGGATGACGGCTAGAATTAGTTATATTATGGTAACAAGTAGGATAGAACAAGATTTGGAAAGGGGAATCGAATGTTTTACATAATGGTGTCAAGTAGGGTAGGATTTGGATGCTCACCGGCGTATGGAAAACTGAAATTATTAAGTCACTCAATATGTTTTACAAAATATTAGAATTCTAGGGTAAAGCAAAAGATTGTTGTTCACGAATATTTCAAAGAAACTATCATTTCTCTGAGACCTGCAGATCGAGAGTTCGAATCCCGTCTTCGAACATTTTCACCCTTTCAGTCGTGGGGGCGTTATAATGAGACAGTCAATCCCACTATTTGTTGGTAAAAAGTATCCCAAAAGTTGGTGATGGGTGGTGTTGATTAGCTGCCTTCCCTCTGGTCTATCACTTCTAAATTAGGGACGGCTAGCATAGATAGCTCTCGAGTAGATTTTCGCGCGAAATTCAACAAACAAACAAATTAACTTCTCTAGTTTCACACAACTCTCTCTCACTTTTTTATCGCTTAGACTTAACTACAATTATCTACTTTCGCTGAAAGATGGCGCGACATATCAAATGGCTGATCAGAAGACATCCTCACGGTTTTTAAAGCTGCCTGAAGACCCTTAAATAACTACCCGAAACATTGTTAGCCTACAGGTAGTTTAAGAAGTGATTAGGTCAAGTCGGTTGTTAAAAATGTTACGTTTCAGGAAGGTATTTCATATTATAATCTGGATGGCTTTTAGGCTACACGTCAAGACCCCCCCCCCTCCAAGTTCAGCCATAGCCGTCTATAAATTAAAATTGCTGATCAAAGGGAAGGAAACCAGTCAATAACACCCACCGCTTACACGCCCAGTCGTAATCGAATAGTAGGATTGACTGTCACATTTATAACGTGCCAAAGGCTGAAAATGCAAAGCTTGTTCAGTAACATATTACGCCCTCGAACCTTGGACCTTCTTACTCCCTGCAGCCCTATCCTCTAACCTCTACGCCCGACAATTAAATTTATCTTTTGCTATTTTTAGCTCAACTCTAAACATATACGCTATTTTTATGCCATAATAAATTCTCCTCCCCAATAAAATAAGACCAAATCTAGTAATGATATTTCATTAAGAAAATAGAATCCCATAACGAATTAGATGATGTAGGTATTATTTAATCACTTAAGTCATATAGTGTCCTTGATACACGTGTAAATAATCATTTCAAATCTTCTTTCATAACACTTCATCGTGTTAGCCTTCATAACCTTGGTTTTCACAACCTTCACATCAAGAAAATAGACTTCGTTGTTACTTATTTGTTATCCCCTGGTGGTTTAGCGGTAAGCTTGGGGGACTATAATGCTAAAATTTTTGGTTCGATTCCTGCCGATGGCGCAGCAGAGGTATATCATTGTATAACCTTATGCTTAAAAACGAATATATATATATATGTAAGCTCTAAAATCAACAGTGCATTCGTTTTGATACCAGTTAAATAAACTAGTCAGTTAAGGCAGCTTATTCATTGGTCTTGTTTCCAGAGCTGCTAAATTTAAATCTGTGATAGTTTTTTTTTTAATAACCACGACACGAGCATCGTGGTGCTGCTAGTTTATAAGAACAGCATGAAGTCTTGGGTCGTGATGGGAGTGATTAATATTATTGTTTACCTTATTGTAACATACGTATTTCATACCCTCCCACGTGAACGTTGAACTGTGTCACTAATTTAACATAAAATATTAATTAAGACAGTGATGTGGAGATACGCAGAGGGCGCTGTCAGCAAAAATACACTGCAGTTCACGATCGGAGAAGTAGAATCTAATATACTGAACTTAGTATAACTGAAATGAAACGGTCTCCTACGGCAGTGGAATAAAGCGACCTCTAGCAGTGGGAGAGATCATGAAAAGGCATTTGTTAATCTAGAAATTGCCACAAAATCGAAGACGAGCAGAGCGACTAGCACGCAGTCCAAATTGTTGCGGACGTCACGGTATTCTTTACAAGTTAAACCGAGCCGTGTACACCTGATTACATATCCAGGGCTGAGCTGTCATCATAACTGCTAGTGAAGTACAAACGATTGGTTTAGACGTTTCGCTCAGGAAATGAGCAGACTGTAAGTAAGTAACGTGTTCTCCGATATGTTGGAAAGTTAAGTTTACACACAGATAACAAACACACCGCTTCGCTCCACTAAAGATACAGTGAACGAAAGTAAGAAAAAATAAAAGAGGAGGTAAGTTTGTTTTTTTTACTTCGAAGGGTTATGTTTTCACCCCTGTGTGTGTGTGTGTGTGTGTGTTTACTTGTGTGTTTGTCAGCAAGATTTCTCGAAAACGGCTAAATGCTATTGGACGAAAGTTGGTATACATTCGAACTATGAACCAGCTTAGAAGCTATATTTTTAGAGGGTCAAAGGTCAAGGTCTCGAAAATCCAAAGAAATCCCTACCTGTTAATATGGGGACCGATTTTTCACATTTTTGCTCTATAACTCACTCAGAAATGATCGGATGTTGATGAATCATGGTGGACAAATGTAGAATATTATTCTTTAATGTTCTGCCAAAAATGGTTCTTATTTATTGATAGCGACAGACATATGGACACATTTTCATATTTTTTGAGAACCGAATATGATTAATGCTGCGTAGCGGAGGTGTACGGTCTTCTAAGTGACTCCTCTAGTTGCTCGTGCTTTAATGAGAGGAAAAGATGGTCCCGCTTCCATTCAAGATCAGCTATTCTCTTCTTCGGCATAAAAATTACGAAGAAGTTCTAGAAGTAGAACAATATCTGTTATGTCCTGATTTTAAAACTTTAATCTTGATTTTACAATTACGATATTTCCATAGCAACTAAAGAGTGTGAGTGATCTTTAGACAGTGTCTAATTATTAAGGGGCTAAGACAGTCTAAACTGTTTCAACCTAATTTTTCAATAGTTGTTTTACTCGAGTCTTTATAACGACTTATTCAAAAACAACAATCGAAGTCGTCCCATCCTACTCCACTTCACCCCTCTTGAAGAGATAATTGAATCATGTTTAATTCCTTGATCTTCAAATTGATAAAGGGTTAATTTGGTATTCGAACCTTGATAATTATTCTAGAAAGTCTGTGCTGGTGTCAGCCTGTCGTTTTCAGTGCAGTTTGAATAACTTCAGTTCAGTCAGAGATGATCTTGGCTTTACCTAGGGGTAAGCGTGTCGGGCTGCGAATCGGAAAATTCAAAGTATGATCCGCGATCCTTTGCTCAATTAACTTGACCGTGAAAGTCAATTCCAGAACTTGGTTAAGAGTAACCAACGGCGGGGGTTTCTGACTGGTTACCGTCTTTCTGGTTAACAATTCTCAATTAGGATTCACTATCCCCGATCCCTAGAAATCACAAGCCTGGCTGTTTATCCCCACGTATCACATAAGGTGATATTTAGGCTTAAAATACCATTAACAGTAAACAATGGATTACATGAATAATTATACTGAAGTTCCTGATCCCTAGATATCACAAGCCTGGCTGTTTGTCCCACTTTTCGCATAAGGTGACTTTCAGGTTTAAAGTAACATTAACAGTAAAAGATGGATTACATGAATATTTGTACTGAAGCTTTTTCGTAGCTTTACTATAAGTTATTTGTAACTTTCGAAGAACATAAATCTGTTGCTTATAAGTGATGTTTAAAAATTGTTTAACTTTATAAACTTATGTTCTCAATATCATGGTTAGTAGGTCATACGATAATCTAAATCTAATTGTTAATTAATAACTCTGTTATATAGCTAGATACCAATTAGTAATTAGTTTTATTCTATCTTTCGATTGCTATTCTGTTGCAGTTTTCGAGAAAGTTTCAAAATAATGACTATTTCAGTGTTGGTAGTCGCCCAGATTCGATCCTGGTTCTCCGTGATGAAAGTCTGATTGGTAACAACACAGGTACAGTTCTTCTCAGAACTTCCCTGAAGACGACAGTAGATCAGCAGTCGAAACGTAGGATAAAACCGATTAGTATCTAGTTATATACAAATTTTAATAACTAGGTTTAGTTATTCGTATAGGCTATTAACCATGACAACGATTGATATCAGATCGCCAAAACCATATCTTAAGTAATCTTATTTTTCTAAGAAACTCTAGAAACTATCCTAATGTCTAGGTTACTCGAAAGAAAAATAATAATAATTAGATAAAATAGTAAATCCAGCAGAGATGTCAGACTATCTGCCGAGTAAACACGGTATCACTCTCTAATGGAACCACCCCGCGAAGTAGCTCCAAGCGAGCTGTTTCCACCGCTTGAGGGGGGGAGTTCTCCCCATGCCTTTTCTACTGGTATAGGCTTCTAGTTTGTTTCCTCTCTCGTCAGTATTTACAGCCTCGATTTCACTACCACTCGAGCGAACAGCAGGGTAGTCGGAAGTAAGAAGTAAAACGTATGATTCACTCGTTTTCTCATTCTCATTTCGTTTGTTGTTGTTCTTTTTTTTTCTTTCTATTTTTTATCATGCTTTCCTGTTTCTAAATGATCATAATTTCTTTTCTACTTTTGATGTGAAAAGTTACAGAACTTTTAAAAGAAGTAGCTTACTGATGAAAAGCTGAATTTTTCGAATTTTATGGTTTGTTTGTAATTAAGCACAAAGCTACACAATGGGCTCTGCCAACCACGGGTATCGAAACCCGGATTCTAGCGTTGTAAGTCCGCAGACATACCGCTGTGCCACTGGGGGAGGGGCGAATTTTATGGATCTACCTGAAATGTTTATAATATATTCTTATAACGTAACAGGAAAGAGCACGTCAGCAAAAATTATAATAACTTATTTAAGTCATTACGGCGTATATAAAATGAGAGAAAATTATTTTCTGTAATTAAGAGAAACGCCTAGCGTTTGCCCCTTTTATTTTCCTGGAAAAATAGATTAACACGAAAGTTGCTCACTTCTTTTGCCGTAGTGAATAGCTAACTTCATTGTGCTCTTCTAAAACATATACCAAAGAACAGAAGGTTGTCGATGTGACTAATTAGTTTTCAAAATATCAAACTCACATTTCACATCAACCCATCAGAAAAATGCGAACTCAAGATCTTCCTTCCGTAAACAGCAACTTAATTTTCTTTGGCATTCGTAGCTCATAGAAACAACCTTAACAAGGAAAATATACAATAATTATTATTTACACCATTATTTGGTCCAAGAAAAAATTTCGGTTAAAACTGGAAGAACGAAGGTTTACTGTCGTTATGGAGAATCAAGTGGTACATTTATGTAAAATCTTGTTTCAGAATTTTCGCTTGAAGCTCCAAAAAAAAAGTATCTACGCGTAGTCGTCCTTAATCTTGAACTGACAGACTAGAGGAAAGGCAGCCAGTCAACAGTGGCTGATTGCTAACACTCGGGCTTCTTTTGATGAATTTGGTTGCCATTCTTATAGTGTACCAACGACTCTAAAGTAAGGAACGCATCTTGCGGCAATGGGACGCGAACCACGAATCCAAATACGCTAACCATTAGGCTAAGCCCAGTCCGCGTAAAAAAATGTATCTGACCATTTTATAATATTGCTATTATAAACTATACTAAGTTTCTTGAAATAATATCTTAAATCGTTTTTGAAGGATTATTAAAAAAAAAACAACTCATGTGGTTTTCCATTAGAATAAAACTAATTAGAACATCGCTGAGGTAGGCACCAGACAGGATTAGTCTCTGAAGCTTCAGCCCAAACGTTGAGACATGACCGACGGGTTCTACGCGAAACGTATTCTTATCGAACATTAGTAAAAAATACACAAATATTACCCTAATTTGAACACCTACAAGAAAGAGAGCATAGCTCAACAGAATTTTCTTAACTTGGATAATATTTTCAAAATGTTCAGACACTCCTGGACAGCATGTCGATTGGAGAGTAAGAAGGGAGTATCATTACTTTTTTATTTAATATGGAAAGTAAATTCCACTTTTAATTTTTCTGGTAGTAGTAGCTATTGACCTAGATATCTTAGGTTTTATCTCGTTGTTCCTACTTACATGTGATTGTTATGGATACTGGAATGGCAGTTTTAGATAAGAAGTTTTATTGTCACTCCCAGTTGATGAGGCTCTAGTAATCTGTTTTAATTCTGCATTCTCTTTCTCTGCCCCACCCCCAGTGGCACAGCGGTATGTCTGCGGACTTACGATGCTAGAAACCGGGTTTCGATACCCGTGGTGGGCAGAGCACAGATAGCCCATTGTGTAGTTTTGTGCTTAAATTCCAACAAACAAACAAATCCCTTTCTCTGATATTCTGTTTCATGAGAACTGCCTGAGGAACGCTCTGTGCTTGAACACCCAATATACTAACTGTCAGTATTTCTTCTGTTATTTCACAAGTGACACTTACCAACAGTAGTTAAATGAAATAAATAGTGTCTCCTAACTTCTGTTCTGGTCCTACATCCTTAATACCTCTCTTACTGGGTTACATTTTACTACTAACAGAATGTAATATTTACTCTAGTGTTAACTGCTTCTTCTCAGTGTTTTGTGTGTACATGAGGAAGGGGTGATATTCATCACGATGATTTGTATGTATATATATATTTAAGTGTGTGTGTATGTCTGTGTGTGTCTGTGTAGAAATGAATAAGACGGAGGATAAGCATCTACGTTTGCAAAGAAGATAGGCAGATCATATAGGCAGATAATCAACTCTTCACAGAAACCTCTGGCGTCGTTTCACAGTGGCCTCCCATGTGGGTTTCCCGCATTAAAACAGAGAGGGGGGGTAGGACTTTTCCATTTGT